AAGAGAGGCACAGGGGACACTAAATTACATCTTGGACATTTGATTTAATTTACTTCAATTCGAGAGACGTTTTCAGTTAGAAATGGAGGGTTGTCCTTCTTACGCTTCAGGGCTTGCAGCGGTTTCAAAGAAAGGAGTGTTTGTTACTGTCTGCAGGGGAAATCTGAGAGTGCAGAGCACAATGACAAATCCAGGCTCTCAAGTCAAACACGTTTTAAAAGGATAGCCATCCCTTACCATCTCACCTCTCTGGCCTCCAGCCTCTGGCCAGACTCTTCAGCTATTAATGTTCATTCCCTGCCTCACTAGGTCACACACAATGAGCGTCTGGGACTGCCTTGTTCCATGCCAGTACAGCACCAGCAGCTGGGAAGCCCATGGACCATCACTAAGCTCCCCCTTTTCACAGGGGTACAAGTTTTCTAAAAAGCAACATGGACAGCTGGTGTTGCTGAGGTCTGCAGGTAATACAAGCAGCCACTACAAAAAATACTTTCTAGGGATGCAGATGACTACTGCTTGCTCCAACCCCGTTTGGACTCCAAAGTCAGTAGTTTCAGTGAAAAGATTTGGGGCTCATTCCATAACTCGCATAGCTGCTGCCAGACAGACACCAGAGTTCATAATAGTTTCCTGAATATATGGGCTTTAAAAGAAATTGGAAATCCAGATTTCATTCTTAGAAGACTCACAGCCCAGAAACTTCCAGGCCGTACCAGCCACCACACCTAAACTACATGCACTCGACCAGGTAACAGAGCAGCCCTAGGAGACGACAGCTGTTAACCCCGGCGCTGTCCCCAGCGACTCCAGCCCTGCTCCCAAGACAGCAGGGGAAGGCGAACAACCTCTTTTCTTCTTTAAAACATCTCCACAGCAAGGGGCCAATTAGAGCATCCTGGTCTTACCGGCCTTTTAATGGCAAGCATAAATAGGCCCTTATGTATTCAAATCAGCAGCAAATGAGTGGTGAAGGTCACAGGGTGCTTAAGTGACTATAGTGCTTCCTCAGATTTCTGGAGAAAGCACTTGAAAGGTTTAGCCATCAGACCTTCTAACTTGTCTAGTCATCCTAACTGCTGCTGCAGCTACCTCTGACAGACAGTATTTCAGGTTTGTCTCTTTCAGCACCAAGTTCCCAGCCAGCCATTCCCGAAAATAATACGATTGGCAGAGCAGACAACTGCCCTAGACTTTCAGATCAGTGCAAGGGAAGGGCAGAGCTCTCATACAGGAAAGCAGCACTTTGAAAGGTCGGCCAGAAGACCACAGGCCAGATTCCAACAGCAGTTCCAGCCACGTAATTTCTAAAACTTTAGCAGCAGAAAAACATAGTGATCAGAAAACAGTTCTTTGCATTAAAAGCAGCTCACCAGGCACTTTGACGAAGTAAGAAGTACCAGCAACTTGAGGTACATAGATGAAACCAATCCTTCTAAACTACACTTTGACACTGCAAACATGGGCACGGTGGGACCTTGGCATTCCCAGGGCTCTCACTGCACTCGGCTGCTATGAGTGCTTAACCGTACGGGTAAGTTTGCAATATCAATACCTCTGTTTGCACAACCAAGTGACCAACCTATCTCCAACAAGCCTACCACAGAGTTTACGTGTACTTTCAGGAACACCAATTTGTGATCTAGAGAGGCAGGTTTCCCTTGCCTACATCCCTTTGCCTTTCAGGCTGCATATCCCAAAACAATCTACAGTAGTAAGCAGGGTACTCAGAGCATTGCTGCAAGGTTGTCGTAACCCTGTCTGTGCCACCCCCTTTTCACTGGAGGCAACAGTCAAGGCTCAACTTTACAGCCAGAACAGAAGGAGGTAGAAGCATTTCCAAAGCTATTTAAAACATAGATGAATACTATGTTCTTGCCAAGTTTTACCTCCTGCAGCAGTGTTCTGGACCCTTCTTTCACCATGATGTGGCATCTGCCTTTTGAGCAAGACAACTTTCATTACTGCAACAAAGCCTAACAAAGCAAGAAAAATAAATACAATAAGCTCCTTGGATAATACAGAGGTTTTGTTTGTTTTTAACAACTAGGCATGGAATAAATGAAACAATCAAGTGAAGCCAACTAGCTGAAAGAGTAAGAAACAACTAAGCACACAAACACTGTCTGGGAAGAAAGGCCACCCATGCAAGAATAGCATAAAGGAGGAGCCAGAGATTAAAGTGAGTACGCTGTTCATTCTTCAGTCCTGCACAAAAGTAGGAGCAGGTGATACTGCGTTACACTACAAAAGAGCAAGGCAGATGTTTCCCAGTGTGCCCAGAGGGATTATCAGCAG